GTAGTTTCGTTCCCTCCTCTCTCTCTCTCTCTCTCTCTCTAGGGGAAAGTGGAGAGAAGTTTCTTCTCAATAAATTGTGGGGGAGAAATTGGTGCGAGACATTGAGGATAAATAGAGAGAGAAAGAGAGAGAGAGAGAGAAAAAGAAGAGAGAGAAAGGAAGAGAGAGGACGTTGGGAAAGAACGAGGAGAAAAAGTTGGAGTGGCGTGTCTTCGAGCTGCAAAAGGACCCCACGAAAATAAAAATACGCGGAAAAATAAGGAGAAAAAACACCCCAAATTCTCTATAAATTTGATAGGATCATCACCCTTTCTTTGTCGAAAATGACATAGGAAACCATCCTCTTTGTATTATCAACTAAAGTATGGCCACTGCTTTTCACCGTCTTTTTTGTTATTTTAGCAGTGGAAATCGAACTTAGGACCTAACGTATGTTTGCTTTATTTCTAAAGTATTTTTATGTCTTAAATCATTTTATAAGTAAGGTACACCTCTAAATTTTATCAAAGATGTTATTTGATATCTATATTCAACTCGGATTGTGAAATTTTAAATTTGAAAAAAAAAAATGTGGATTGAGCAAATATGTTAACACTTCAAAAAATCTTGAATAGATGAATTATTTTTAGAACTTGAAATTCTTTTTTCCTTATATCATGCATCTCAAAGTCGAGATAATGAATTAGGAAGTTTTCGAACTTCAAAGCATTTCTTTTACTGGATTTTTTAGCTGCACCTTACTTCTATTGAATAAAATTGCAACCTTATATAAACTCTATTTTTAATATTTTTATCTTTCCTACAAAAAAATATCATCTTTCCTAATGTCACACGTTAAAACCTACTAGAAGGTGCCGCTCAGCACCGAAAACCTTTATAGTGGCTTTAAAATCTACGATTTGCCATTAAATGTTAAAAATAAAGTTTAAATATTAGAGCCTATCAGTCAATGGACACTTGAAACTTGAAAATAGATGGTGTAAAAATGCATATAAAATTTATTTTTTTAGGCTTAAAATCCATTTTCTTAACTTATAGATAACAATCCTTGTTGCAAGATAATCAATTTGAGAGTTTTTTTTTGGCTCGAAAAAGACTTTATTGGGGGAGATTTGGACTGCATCTTAAGAAAATCATGGTTTGTTGAATCTCTTAATCTCTATGTTGCCTTGTATTGTATTTAGAGCTAGGAGATGGGCTGATGTGGCTCAAGCTCGACCCAAAAGTGTATAATATAGGCACAGGCCTGAAAATCAAAATTTGGGCCATGCCCGGTTTGAATTCACAGTATGCGGCCTTACGCTTCCAGGCCCAAAAAAAATTTGGGCTGAATTTATCTTTATGTACAAAGGCATATTTAATATAAAAATATAGATCAATAAATTTTCAAGGCCAGTGCTGGCTCGAAAAGATTTTGGGCCTAGCAAATCATGTTCAGGCTCGGCCCGCCCAAGAGCCAATGGTGGGCCTCGAGTTACCTTTTACAATCTAGTTGAAGGACTACCACACCTAACATGCTAGGCTCGAGGAGTGCTAAAAATTAATTTTTTAAAATGTTGCCATTATATTTATTTTCTTCGTAACAACGTTTTCCATTTGCACGTCTTATTTATTCTGGACCATTTTATGTATCCCTTTCAAATTTCAATTGAGGTGCACAAGTATATTTTTCCCCAAGTGATGCACAAAAAAAGGTTAGTCCGGATTAGCTCTTTTTTTCTCCTTTTTGGTCTTTTGGTGTAAAGAATTTGGTACCCCTGCTGGAGCACACTTACATTTGCTCCCTGGAGTAAAACCTTTGAATGCTTTCTGGACAAACCTCTAGAACCAAACACTCAAACCGCAAATAAAAAAACATGAATTGTCGCTCTCTATGTACCTCTAAGATTGAATAGGAAATGTCCAATTCTGAAAGGCAAGATAGAAGTATTCAAGAACTCATAATCTTTTTGCTTTCTTCTTGAAAATAATCATATGATGGCATTAGATGGTTCTCGAAATTCCGGATACAAAAAATCCTGCCAAGTGGTTCTTTTACTTTGAGAGAGTTGTAGTACACAGTATGCTCCTAACGGGAGCATGTTATAACCGCTTACTTTTTTTTTTATGTCATTTGTTAAGGCTTTTAGTCGGTGGACGCGACGCTGCATATTAGGTTCTCATTCATGTCTCTTCAAACTTTAATAAGGGGTACTATTCCCCAAAATAATTTGTTTAATCCTCATATTTGATTTGTCTTTGTTGGGGAGAATCTTTAAAAACCACACTGAAGTTTGTGGAAATTTGGTAGAGGACCCGGTTTCTGTGCGGCCAAGCCCGTATATGTAGAAATGTGGGCCTCGTAATAAAATTTTTTTTTAGATGGATTTTAGGACTCAATTTTTAAGGACATGTAATATCTAATGTAGAGATAATGAATATGAAAAAATAAATAAATTTTTAAAACGAAAAAAAATAATTCTAACAAGAGAACATTTGGACCTTTTGTTTCCCTTGTTTTAGATGGAACACCTATTTGCATCTTTACACTTTTTGGACCGCTTATGTAGAAATGCGGTCCAGCCTACATGAAACAATTTTCTATTGATAGATATCTAAACCATGGGGGCAAGTGAACAACAAGGGCGTCAAAAAAAACACCTAGGTTATTGTGCATAAAGATGCCTCACCAATGATTTAGAAAATGGATCGGTGCCGTTCTCTTCTAAATCCAAATAATTTTCTAAATTATTTACAGAATCAACATGAGGTGACCGACCCCTAATCGGACCGAACAAGAGTAAGTTGTCGACCCCTACCCTCTCTCTCAATTAGCTATGCATGTAAAATAATTGGATTATTGTTGTGACGAGCATTTTTACAGTTTTGGATATTATCATGCGTTTATCACTAATTTAAAAATTAGTAATATGGATTGAAATTGATCAGTACTTTAGTCTATTCTTGCCCAGAACACGGAATGGCCTTGATTCACAGTGGCTCACTTGTTTTCCACCATTTAATTTTGTATTAATTTATTTATCTTTTATTGTTTTCAAATGGAAAGATAGTATTATAAATTTTCTAGAGTCATTCCCATACTATAGAGTCGTTTTAACAAACGGATCCATTACCCAGATTGGTCCAACCAATGACTGATCCAAGATTTAAAACATACTTTATATACAATGTCAGCATTGTTGGTTTCCAGCATTGGCTAGTACCTCTCTATGCTATCAACTTATGGGAGTTTACATAGAATGGCTAGGAATGTGTGAGTAGATGGTAGGAATGGCAAGTGTAGTATAGCTTCTTCTTCGTATCATCAGTGAAAGACAAATAAAAAGTCTACCTCTATTTTGAAAATGATGAAGTTTCTATAAGGTCTAGGCTTTATGAAAACAAAATAAAGCTTCAACTCAAATCCTCGAGCACTTTCGGCAATGAAAATCTTCATGATGACTCCAAAACCAATTTCTTAACACTGACAATAAAATTTAAAGCTCAAAATATGTACAGATTTTACGGATCTATGAACAGTTATTTTTAGGGTGAAATAGATGGTCTAGATAATTTGTTAGAATATACACTATTTTTGGAGTTTGAAATCTCAATTTTTTTTGACAACCATAATGTTCAAGCCAAGATGATCAATGTAAAAGGTTTTCCAAATGTATGAATTGCAATTTTCGACAAATTATGAGGTGAGGCCTTATTTATTTTGATAGGGCTGCAGCTTTATCAAACCATTTTCCTTTTGAAAATTTCCAAAGCAGCTTATAATTGCATGAACCATTTTGGAATGTCTTGGAGAACCAATGGGCTGACTCGAATGGTTCCAAGGAGACCGAGTACCGGAGGATAACCGGTTTGATGCACCTATCATTTTTTTTTTTTTTTCTTTTTTTGGAAACACTAGTTTTATCCCAGATAAAAAAATGAGAAAAGGATATAATTGTCCTAATACACCAAACTAGGGCAATTTGGATAATTGGATTGATTGGTTTCCTTATGAGAAATCCTTAGGCTTTTTAGCCATTTTACTATGTTTATATTACGTAATATTTTATATAATTCTTCCTATTTATTCACATCGGTGGAAGACAAGCCTTTTTGTGAAAATAATAAATTTTTGATGACTTTTTATTTCCCAACTTTCCAACTCATGGGGCGAGCTTTATCTCTTGCTCGTGCTCGAGTGCACCCACTCTCACACGTGCTTTTCAAATGTCTATTCAACTTCACTTGCGGTTGGTTGCATTAGGCTGTACAGTTTGACCGCACGTGTGGGTCAATCATTTTTGCAACGTGGCATTCTCATAGACACTCACTGTATATGGGACTAGATTCCAATGTGGCATTCGGAGATGTGCATCATAGGCCACCTCACCAAGCTTGTATGCACCTGGAGGAGCATCCAATTTTTGTTCCAGGTTTACTGTGATACATGAAGGGGCACCCGGGCTGGACAGTGCGCACTATAGGTACGGCTCGGGTACCCAGGCCATGTCCAATGGGGCTTGGCTCGGTCCAGCCCTAGTCGGGTTGGGCAGTTCGAAGGCTAATATATTCTTTAAAAATAATCGAAAAACTAAAGGGACATCATGTTGGGCCGGCTATGGCTCTGACCGACGCTTAGCCCAGGTATGGCCCTTGGGCCATTGTCCCTAGCATGGGTTTTACCCTCGAGCAATCTTTCATGTTTGGTTCGTATGAAATTGTTTTTTAGAAAACATTTTCATATAAACAAATTATCTTGTGTGGTTAAGTGTTGGAATATTTTGATACCAATCGGTCTCAATGTATCTTTTCACACCAACTGACAACTAATTGATGAAAAAATATTCCTATAGTTAATCACATGAAAGAATTTTTTTTTATAAAAATATTTTTTGAAAAACAATTTCATACGAACCGAACATGATGGAATTAGGCCCAGCTAGTTAGGACGAGCTGACCAAAGCGAGCCAAAAAATTTGGCC